TAGCCTATCCCATTGGAATTACACTGAGGGCCCATTAGTTTGGTTCTATACCTGGGAACTGGCATATGTTTTGTATATAATGAAAAGGTGGATGGACAGAAGGAAGAAAAGAGAGATGGAAGGAAAAAAGAAGGGAGGGAGAGAGGGAGGGAAGAAGGAAGAAAAGATGGGTAAGGCGGGCTTTTGCTTTGCTAAGTATCCCCACAGCAGAAGGGCCAGGGGGAGAGTGGCCCTAGAACACACAGCTTTGAAGCAGAAGTCCGCCAAGGACTCCCAGAGAAGTCCCCACTGCAGCACTCGGCTCTGCTGGGCGTTCACCCTTGCCTCACCGGGGTTTGACCTTCAAGTGCCACGCTGCTCTCTCCTTCCCAGAATTTTAATCTTCAAATCTTTCCCATGCTAGTGTCATTAGAGCTTTGCAATAGTCCACCAGAGTAGGAGTCATGATTATTCATGTCCCCAGTTTCCAAACAAGAAAAGTGAGGCCAAAGGAGCCGGAGCAGCCTCCTCCCTGGGCCTGCCTAGCCAGGTGGCTGGCCCCAGCTTGGGCCCCGCCTCCCCAGGGTCTCTAGGCAGGGATGCAAAGCAGGACGTGTTGTTACAAAGAAAGCTGCTGTCCCCGCTGGGGATGGCAACCTGGCTCCAGGCTGCTTCTGGAAGGGGGTCAGGCTCTAACCGGGGGCTGCTTTTCTCAGCTCCCTTCTGTGTAGAGAAGGGGAAATACACAGGCTTTACAACCAATCAGGTCTGAAAGTGAATGCTCACCCTGAACTCTCCGTGTAACCTAAGGCAAGTTACTTAATTTCTTTGAGTCACAATTTAGTAATGTACCAAATTGTGTTAATGTTCCATTTTGAAGCTTAATTGAGATGATCTATTTTGGAAACTAGCCAGGATTCGATCAATAGTAAACCTTTCTTTTCACTCCACACCCGTGTCCTTCTCAGTGGAATGGAAAGGAGCACTGTATCCTAATAATACAGGGACTTTGGTGCTACACCCCTTGGGTTTAAGTTCTGGTTCTGCCATTTACGGCCATAAGCAAATTGCTTTAATCTCTCTATGTTCTAGTTTGCTCTTCTGTAAAACAGTGTCAAGAATGGCTGGTGCCAGACCAGGCGTGGTGGTGCATGCCTGTAATCCCAGCACTGGGGAGGCTGGAAACAGGAGGACTACTGCAAGTCCAAGCCACATAGTGAGACCCTGTACCAAATACATTTAAAAAAAAATGACTGGTGCCTATCTCCTAGTGTTGTTTCAAAGATTGAATGAGTTAATATGTAAAGTACTTGGAACAACTACCAAGAGAAACAAATAGCAATGAGACAGTTTTCTGCTGGATGGTTAAGACCAAGGTAAAGCAAGGCCTATATAACAAGGAATGTAACTTTTGTATCTGATAAGGTCAGTCAAGTACCCTCAGGATTTACCCTGAAACCCTATACTGCAGTTTGTAGATCCTTTGTCAGTGTCAGCCATATGGATGAGTCATGGCCATTGCTTGACCAATTTGCTCTCTGTGAAAGCCTGAGAGAATGTTTTCTCTCCATGTGACTCTCCTTAGGCACACTCCACATTATCGATGACTTTCCTCTGTGGTCCCATAATCTCCTTGATTAGAATATTTGGGACACAACTGAGTTACATGATGTTACAGTACAGGTTCTCCTATGTCCTGAGTCTTCACGACCTTTAAAGGCTAGGGCCAAGGTGTTGGCTGTTTTTCAGCCCTTCTTTTTCTATAATTTTTAGTCTGCAAACTTAGGTTGTTAACCCTCTAGAAGAGAGGCTTATTATTATTATCCTACAACATAGGCAGTTGAGCTTAACCTCACTGTCTGTCTGAATATCAAACATCTTTGACGCTCCCTGGTGGTCTAGTGGTTAGGATTCAGTGCTCTCACCACAGGTTTTTAGCACACCAAATAACCTGCAAAGTCCCCGCTTCCTCTTCAGGAAGGCTGGCCTGGAATTCAGCTCAGAAGCCTGGTAGAGAGGCACTCCCAAGAACTCAAGTAGTCATTCATGAACTGGTTCCAGCCTGTCAAATTCTGTGTGAACCGGAATGCAAAAGGTGCCAGTGTGAGTGATGATGGGGAGAGAAATCAATTTAAAACAGGCCAGATCAGCTTGCTTTGGCCAAGCTACACTGCCTGCACTGCCCCAAAATTCGACACAGTCATTAAGACAGAGCATTAGGTGCTGCCTGTGGTTGGGGACCCAGTTAAGCAGAGAGCAGAGCAGCATTCTTTATGATCATTGCAACTGCTCTTCTGTGCGAACTCGTTACACATGATTTTGCTGGTATAGCCCAAGTGGGAACAGGCAGGGAGAGGTAGGAAAACCTGTTAGATATAGAAAGATGTGGCTGGTTTTCACTGCCCTGACCATTCTGTCTAGCGGAGACGCCCCTTGCATCATGACCACATCCCCCTGTTTGAGTACCTCATGGTATTTTTCACAGTTTACAGCTATATTTGTCTACTAGTTGATGTATTTTCCCTCAGCTGAATGTAACTACATCACAGCAGGGACTTCCTCTGATTTCTTTTCTCTTCTTATCCATCCTTCTAGACTAATAGCTTATATTTTGTGCTTGAGAAATATTTGTTGGGATGAATAAATGAGCAAGTGGTATTTTCCAGCAGCTGAAGGAGTTGGTGCATAAGAACAACCCGGTGACCCCACCTACAGAATTCAGTACTGTCAAAAAATAATGACCTCTGTTAGTCTAATGCTTCATAATTTTCATAACACTAAGTAGTAGTAATCCTCACAGCAGATGTGAGAGGTATACATCAGCATGCCAGTTGTATGAGGCAGGAAACTGAACCTCAGAAACATTCACCTTATTCTATAGCTTTGTATTTTTCCTTATCTGCCCCTGGCTTCATAGCACAGAACTAGGGCTGGATGATGGGGGTGCCTAAGCTGGTGAATGTGATACAAGCCCTTGAACCATAATTTATAAATAGTATGTAAATTATGCATAATTACTTTTTAAAAAGTAATTGTTACTCCTAGAAAAAGGCACAAAGATTTACCAAGAGAGCAGCTATAGGAATAGAAAGGAGATAAATTAATTGTAGAGGACTGGGGAGAGATGAATAAACCAGCCGTAATGAAGTCTAGAAATGACTTGATAGTATCTCCAGTTAATGAAAGACAAGCAAATCTAGAGCAAAGAACCATCAACTCAGGGTGAGTACATGGAGTATGAGACTCCAGGCATCCACGCAGGTGCACACATGCACCAGAAAGCTGCGAAATTCGGCCTGAGTTTCTGCAAATGGTAAAGATCTAGGAGCGATTTACACGTAAGCTTGATTATCAATTAGAAATTGATTAAGTTCTCTTGAAAGTTGGGGTGGGGGAAGCCAGCACAGATTTCTATCTCCTATATTCCAAGTCTTCTCTAGGCCGGTTGTTCCAGCACTGCTGATTTATTAGGCTTCATCAGTTTGTGAAATTTTGTGCATCATTATATCACGTTAGACTTGGACTGTGCCCTACCTCATTTTAAAGAGCACTTCTGGGGCTGGCGAGATAGCTCAGCAGACTAAAGCGCCTTTTTAGGCAAGCTTAGACAGCACAGGGACCGTGGTTCAATCCCTGCCACCTTGCAAGTATTGGTTTCCATGGCTAATGTTGTATATAGAAGATGGATTTTGGTACAGTCATTGACCATATTTTTATACTATATATTCTTAGGGAAATATTTGGGTACAATTCATATCATAATCATCAAAAATATAATAAGTATGAAGCTCTGCCTGATTATTCCATTATTTCAATCTCTTGGGTCTGTTTAAATAGTCTCTTTTATTCCTCGTGGGCCTTGAACATTTAGCCCTATTTCTTAACATGTCTAGTAATTTCTGACTGAATGCTTGACACTGGGTCAAAACTCACCAGAGGCTTTGGATACTGCTGTCTTTCTCCAAAAAGGGTTAAGGTTTTGCTCTTTTTGTGCAGACAAAAGCAGAGCAGATCACTTTCAGCCTGCCTGAGTGTAGTTTTGGGCAGTGTGATTCCTGGTCTATGTCAATTTTTACCTCACTCAGAGCGCAGGCATTACTCTGAAGAAATTACTCTAGGGTACAGTCCTAACTCCTATGACTTGGCCTCTTCCATTCTAACTGAGGTGATTACCAAAGCTCCTTTCTCTTTACACAACTTAAGCTCCATTAATTCTCTCTTCCTCTCCTTCTCCCTCTCCCTCTCCTTCTCCCTCTCCCTCTGCAGCACTGTTCATTGCTAAACTCTTTTCTCAGGTTTTAACTTTCCAGCTGCCATATTTCTCCAGTATCTTGAAATTCCACTCTGTGTGTGAAACTGAAGAGCTATTCAGTGATTCCAGGCAATATTTTTTTTTTCACTTCTGGGGCAAAAGAAAAATAAAAAAGATGAAAAGGAGAAAAAAGAAAACCAGGATATAGCAACCTTGTTAAGGCCAAAGGCGAAAAATGTTACCCAAGCATTATGAGGGTGAAAGAGAAGGACACTATCCTTGAGGGGGTACAGAAGGTGACAGGGACAACATTCACTGCCTCATGTTTCTTCACCGAGTGATAAGCTTTGGGGTGTGGGCAACAAGTCTTATCATTGTGGCTGTCTTCACAGAAATAGTTCTAAACATCCAGCATATAGTTGTTCCTAAGTTACATCACTAGGAAAAATCCTGAATATCTGAAAAGTATTCATTTGAGAGATCACAGTGTGAAACTGTGGCAACCTTGGCCTAAGGTTGGGAGACACAAGGTTAGCAGAATACACCCACTCCTGCCCTACCAGACTAGCTAGAGCCGCAAGCAGAGGTAACAGGTGTGTGGCACTCAGCCCATGAGTTGGGAAAATGAACACCTTTAATTTCAAGGATCCGCGGAGCAACGCAGCCGGCAGGGGCTCGCGTGTGGTGACGCGGTCGCCGCTCCGTGGCAGCCGGGCTTCACGCTGCCCGTTGCTTTGGGCTGGTCCGCTCTCCTCAGTCTCACACAGCGATGGCAGACGACCTCGGAGACGAGCGGTGGGAGAATCAGCCGGCAGGAGCAGCCAGCAGCCCAGAGCTTCTGCCAGCTAGTCTGTCTTTTTAATGAAACGTTTTTGGTGGTGGAAGGGCTAAAGTCAAAACAAATTTAAAGAAGACTTCATCAATATCTGTTCTGCAGAAAAATACATAAGACTCATCAGATGGTGACGGAGGAGGAGAAACAAAAATGACACCACAAGAGACAGCCTCAGTTCCTACATCATCAAAAAAAAAAAAAAAAAAAAAACAAAAAAAAAACAAAAAAAAAACCTGAACAGCCTAAAGAATGTTTCTTGATACAACCAAAGGAAACAAAAGAAGGTGCCACCAAGACCAGGAAGAGGAAAAAGGAGAAAATCACTGATGCTCTTGCAAAATCAGAGCCAAAACCAGGGACACCTGAAGATCTACAGATGCTGACGAATAACTATTACAGCAGCAATCGCTCAGTGATTGAATTAGAAGAACTGAATCTACCAGATTCCTGTTTCCTCAAGGCCAATGACTTGACTCACAGTTTTTCATCATACCTAAAAGAAATTTGTCCCAAGTGGGTAAAACTTCGGAAAAACCACAATGAGGAGAAGTTGGTTCTGATGCTGATCATTTGCAGCTCTGCCGTCCGAGCTCTGGAGCTCATTAGGTCGATGACAGCTTTCAGAGGAGACAGAAAAGTTATAAAATTGTTTGCAAAACATATAAAGGTCCAGGAGCAGGTAAAGTTGCTGGAGAAGTGTGTGGCGCATCTGGGTGTAGGAACTCCAGGGAGAATTAAAGAACTCATTAAACAAGGTGGCCTTAACTTGGACCCCTTAAAGTTTGTGGTGTTTGACTGGAACTGGAGAGATCAGAAGCTGCGGAGAATGATGGACATTCCCGAGGTAAGGAAGGAGGTTTTCGAACTTTTAGAATTGGGAGTACTCAGCCTATGCAAGTCAGAATCCTTGAAGCTGGGACTTTTCTAATCCTGGATCCTAATGAAGATTACAGGTTTCAGAGTAGAACTTGCATCTTACTTAATGACATGGGTGTAAGTCAACTATTTTTTTCATTATGTTAACTGTACTACCAGAAACATCCCTGGGAATGTTGGGAGTCTCTAAAAGAATGAATCTGTGGTTTTGCCTATTCCCTGTAGAATAAAGAATCACCAGCTTGTATGTGAAAAAAAAATAATAATAATTTCAAGGATCCTGGTTCATGTGTGGAGAGGGAAAGTTGGACTTGTTGGGAGGGTCTTTCATCTCTTGATATCCATCCAAATAATGTTCATGTAGTTAAACAGAGACCTGTGAGCTCAGAACCAAGTGACCAACCTTTAGGTCTATAGAAAATCCTATTTACGCTGCATCTTTTGAGACAGTTCCTTGGGATTTAACAAGGCTGTCAGTGTATTTACTAATTGGAACTTCTGACTTCCACAGCCTCATGGTACTTTGGTTTCCTCACTAGAGAAGAAAGCACTTCCTCTTCTGCCCCTATTCCACTTCATATCAACCCCACAGCAGATGAGGAAGAAATGCCTGCTCTCACCATTCCCCCTCTTCCTGGAAGTGCCCAGTCAGTTTCCAGCGTGGCGCTGGAGAAGACAAAGGGAAATTTCACCCACCGACAAAGTCACAGGCAAGCAGAGCTGGAGAGTGTAGAGATATAGTTTTGAGACAAAAGCCTGATGTCCCAAGAGAGTAGGGAACACTGAACTGAGTCCGAGGAGGGTTGCTGTCTGTCTGCAAATTCCCAGAAAGCTGGGACCCAAAGCAGCAGATAACAGCTTCTCCTGCAGGCGCTCTGTCCTTTGATCCCTTGCTTGGGATGTTATCGGCTAGCATTTGTGTGAGCCTAGAGTTAGGCAAATGGTAGAAGTCAATAGAGATAGTAGTCCGTATTCACTTAAGTAATCATGCACATTCCTTAGCCTGCCTTTACCCCTCAATAAATGTGAGATGCTTCTGAGGCTCTGTGCTCACTTGGAGAGAGACTAATCTCAGTGAGACCTCTGAAGCTACATTCATCAGGTCTTCTCATCATTTCTTTCGGCACCGACCCATAACATACAACAGGAGGGGTCCCTGTGACTCCCCCTGACACAACAGTGGGGCGTGGGGCTGTTTGTGGGGGTGTCAGCCGCCTTACCCAGATGACTGCCTTAATTCAAATCCTAGTGCCATTGGCGAGCGTCAGTTCTTAGCTGCTGAAAAGAAAGAAATCACATGTGGGTCAGTTTGAAAGCTAAAATAAGTCCATTACAGGAAAGAAACCCAGGCACAGACAGCAGGGACGGCCACTGGACAGACCCAGCCCCATGCAAAGCAGGTGCTATCCTTTTCTGAGGTCCCCTCGCTGTTGCCCGTGCATCCTGCTCCCTTGTCTCAGAGAGTACTTCTCCTGGCCCCTTTAATCATTTGTTTATTTCCTCCCTCTTGTCACTCAAAAGTCCAGTTGCTTCCTTGCTTGCTACGAGTGGCTACTTCAAAGTCCTGTTAGCTACCTGCTTCGAATAGACACCCAGACGCTAGAGTCAGACTCTGTGGCTCGTCCGCTGCTTGAGCAAGTGGCTTAATCTACATTCACATTCTGGTAGCTCCCTGCCTCGCAGAGTCCCTACTTGTTCTCTTCGTGCCCTCCTGTGCATAAACCATGTAGCCTCTCTGTGTTTCATTTGATCTTTCCTAAAACCAGGATAGGAACATTTACCTTGCAGAGCTACCTGGCTACTCTGATGAAGGTAGGAAAAGGCTCATTCTAAACTATAAACCCTGGTATAAATGTGCAGTGTGCTGGTCTTTCATGCCCTTACAGGCACTCCTGATGTTTAGAAAATTGTTTTTGTCATAGGCCTAGGGAGCAGAGAGTGAAAAGAAGTCGGCCTCAGCACAACGCTGGGTCAGACGTCCCTCTGAGCAGCATGGAGGGCGCTGGTTCCAAAGGCAAGGAGTTGAAGGCTCCGGGGTCAAGGGCTGTGCGAAGGGGCGGTTAGAGAGAGACTCGGGCTGGCGCGCCAGGGGTCAGACGGGGGCATAGATGAAAACAGACACCTTGAGAAAGCCAGCACACCACACACAGCAGGAGAGAGGCAGCTGTCGGTCACCTTCACCTTCCTCCCTGTGTGCAGTGGATGATCAATGACTCGTCTCCATGGCAACGTGTCCTTAGGAGGCTACAGTGCATCTGTATTAGGTGGATTAAAAATTGCTCCCTGTCAGCTTAACATGTGTGGTTTTAAGGGTCTGCAATGCAAAGGCGGAAATGGCTTTGGAGCCCAACATTCCTGCATCCCACCCTGGCTCTGCCGCCCGCAGTTACCGCTTCGGCAACCTTGCTGCAGCTGTCCTGATCCTGCGCCCTTGCCTGTGATTGAGAATTATGACTGGCGCTTTGCAGGCTTGCTGCCGAGTGTCCGGTGAGATGGTGCATGCAGCACGTTGTGCATACGCTGCGCCAGGCTTAGGGGAAGCATACCAGGCCACGGCCAGGGCTCCGCTCCTCCCTCCTTGTGAATCCTTCTATGGAAACACAGAACCTCAAGTGTGTGCCAACCTGCCCACTCCCTGGAACCTCAAGGGTCTCCAGAATTCCTAAAACTGACGTACTATTATTGCTCAGAGCATAACAAAGCTCTGACGTCTTCTTCTATGAGACTTATAGTTCTCTTGACATAGTTTCATAGTTTTAGGTTTATTAGTTTAATGATAAAAAAGATATTCACTACTTTAAAAGTATGACTCTGTCACCAGAGAATAGATGACAGAACTACATACTGAATCCCTCAGTGTTTTCACTGGGATACTTTGTTTAGCCTGTATACAGTAGTATTATCTCAATCCCTGCAATGGTTTGTGTTTAGTTGTCCCCCCAAAGCCTCATGTAAGTCATAGGACAGACTCGCTCAGAAGCAGCAAGTGGCTTGGGGGGCGGGGCCAGAGGACCAGCGTGGGGCCCGGGGGCGGGGCATGTGACCAGGGCGGGGCGAGGGGCGGGGCCAGGGGGCCGGGGCGGGGCCGAGGGTTGGGGCCAGAGAGGCAGGAACCCTTAAACTGGCAGCATACACTCTGACGCCCCCACACAGGCCCGCGGTCTCTCTTGAGGTGTCATTGTGGACACAGCACCCGTGTCTGCAATTGAGGCTGCCTTGGTCAGAGAGGAGATCTTTAGAGAAGATAGGCACTGACTTTCTCTCCTGTCTTGCTACATAATTCAGGCTGTCTTAAACTATGAAACTTCCAGTAACTGTGCGCTAAATAAGCTTTTCCTGCCTTCATTTTGAGTGTCGGGTATTTGTCCCAGCAATGAGAGAAGAGTAACTGAGCCAATCCCCTCTGCTCAATACTACATACTTAAATTCCTTTTGCTCAATCTACCATGTTGTGTAAAACATGTGTGTGCTTATTTTGGGTCACTAGCCCCTGCTCAACTGAGACATGTGGGTTGTACTAGTTCATCTAGTACTTCGCACATGGGCAGAGCTCAACGTTTCTTTTTTAGTGGCTTTAGGGGTTGAGCCCTGGGCCGTGTGTGTGTGTGTGTGTGTGTGTGTGTGTGTGTTTGTGTGTTAGCAACTCTTCTCCCACTGAGTTATGTCTCCAGCCCAAATAAATCCTTTTATAGTGTAATTGGAACTGAGGGCTCTCCCCTGCACTCGTCCAATTGCCCACATAAATCAGGTGCCACGGCACTCTCTACACACTGCCACGTTGGCTTACTGTGACTCTAGATAAGCCCGAAAACTAAAAGACGTGCTCACTCCAACAAAGCAACATTAACAAAAGGAAGGTCAAAAGAGCCCAGATGTTGCCAAAGTCCGTCCATCTTCCTTCCCTACATGTTTCAAGATAAACGCTTAGGCACCTGTTTAGGCTTGCGTCTAGATGTCCCTGCAAAGCCTCATACGGTCATAGGTGGGGATTTTTCAGAAAATCACTCTGGTGGCTGAAACCAGAGTGTGAGATGTTGGAATTGATGCACGGTGCAGGGCTAGGCTCAAGTACACTACGACTAAGAGTGTGAGTGCTGCCCGCCCTAAGTAGGCTGGGTAAGGTAAAAGGGGCAGACTGATGCTGTGAAGGTCTCCTGCTTGCTTCTGCTGCCTGCTGCCTACCAGGAACTGTTTCTCCTCAGGATGTCTATCTGCCATCCTCCCTGCCTTGGAGCCAGCCGATTATGGACTGAAATCACTACAAACTATGAACTAAATAAACCTTTCCCCCTTGGGTGTCAGGTATTTTGTCTCAGCAATGAGAAAAGTAGCTAAGAGAACATCTCACTGCCTAATGAGGACAAAAATAACAATGTGGTTATCATATTTATGAGGCATGTAGTATAAGCTCTGCAACAGGCCCTACATGGACTGCTCAAATTGCTGCAGGGTCAGAAACCTTCAGGACAGGGTCAGAAAAAGGGCAGGAGAGGTGCCCAAGGGAGCTGTGCGCAGAATCACTCAGTCAGAAAGCCAAATCTCAACCCAAAGGGCCAGATCCCAAAGCTGGGACGCAGCCACTGCCCCTAAGACCTTCAAAGCCTGCCGGGTGTGCCCCCAGGGGGGATTCAGGAGCAGTACCGCACACCTCAGTGCTACCTTCTAAACACAGCTAGCAGCTGCTTCAGCCAGAGCTGCTGGCTCTTTCATACCTGCTCTGTACTTCCCAGTCTCTGCCTCCCTCCAGTATGGACAGTCCTGCTTCCCAGAACCCTTTGCTGCCTGCTCTGCATGCCCTGTCCTATCAACCTTCAAGACCAGGCCAACTGCATCTCTTCGGAAGACTCCTTGTTCACCTCTGCGCTCACCATGCCTGCCCGTCCTGTCTGCAGGTGGTCAGAGTGACTTCCCGACACCCTCCCGTGGCGCCCTACACCTTACTCCCGGCACTTCAGCCTGGTGTGTGGAGGCCCCATCCAACTGGATGCGGCTCACTTTGGAGGCAGGACCCAGACCTGTGATTTCTCTGCACTCAACGCTGGCATCCTCACATTACGCACACAGCTTGTGTGACAC